AGAAGTAGATCAATCGGCGGCGGCGATGGTGTAATGGTTAGCATACGCAAGTTGGTGGGTGCAAACCCGATCGAAGTCGTGGATTTTTAAGGGCGAGAAAATCCTTCGTACGCCTTCCTTCGGAGGGGAAGTAAAGCCGGCTGTCCCATGTTCGTAGATTTACTTGCAGGTAAAAGATCCTCAGGCCTAAATGACGCCTCTGAGCAAAATTCAAATCGCCTGTTTCATCGCCCAAGAAATACCTCCTTTTTCCGCTAGTTGGTGAAAGGAGCGTAGCGAAATTTGCGTGGTCAGACTGAAGAGCGGGCCTCATGACCAGTCTCACCACGTAAAATACGGCATTAATTCAATTCAACCAAAAGAAAAGAGTGTTTGTAATTTCCGATTGGTTAGTACAAAAACATGCTGACTTACGTCCATCTGACTAAGAAAGTATCGAAAAGAATTAAAAATTCGAAACGAGTATTCACTGCCGAGGTGGGATCCACGTCAACCGATTCAAGTCGACGTTGGCACTTTCCACAGATTTGGAAATATTACAGGCGGTTCATTCAATATTATTATTAATTGCACAGAGAAATTGTACGTAAACAAATTATTAAATTAAGCAGTGTTAATTCTTAAACGGTCGGGGCCATTCAGATTACATTTTCATACCTGTGTGGGGTTGCGTTATGCCAATATTAACAGGACAGTATTACAAAAAGAACTATTTATGTCATTCTACTTGTACTAAACGACTCTTCAACAGCGAGGAGGGGATTTATCTGAGAATTTTCAAAGCAGGATAATATTTAATAGGACTTATTAAAAAGAAATAATGCCAAAATTCCAAATGCGCCCAATATTGCAACTATGTTAAAATCAGAGGTCATGTTATAATACATGTCCAATTTATTGGACATTGACATAGCGATCAATGTACACCGCCTCATTAGGTAGATGAGTCAGTTTTTAACTGGCCAGAAAGGAGAAGCGGTAAGAAAAATGTGTTAGAAAAAGCTATATACTTTTTGAGATACACTGCCCTTGCTGTGGCATTTATATGTAGTTAAAACACTGTTGGTTTTAATTCCACATGTGGAATAGTCGAAATAGTTTCAGAATTGAATCAATCTTGTAGAGTTGATTTAACAAATACAACTTGAGACCAGACAGTTGAAGGGCTCAGTAGAATAAGGAGCTATCATACATTGGCATACTTCTAAGATAATGAGTGTTTTACCTAAATCTCCCTCATAACTCAGTACGTTTTTAAGTACACTTGCATATAAGTTCGTAGTGGATTTAAATAACATATTTTACGAAACCTCAAATATTATTTTAGTGTAATAACTCAATTTCACAAAAATATGGGACATCCCCTTGTTCTATTAAGCCCTTCTGTTGTTGAAGATTCTACAAAGCGTCATGGTATACAAAACCTAGAACATAGGATTTTTGGCTATGAAGGGAAAATAAAAATATTGGCTAAATAACGGGTAATAAGTCGGTGAATTTTTTACATATTACTATAAATGCAGAATTGCATGCTTTTAGTTTTATAGTAATTGCTTAGCTTATTTTCTATCCATTTTTTTGTCATGAACTATGGTTATAAAATTCCTTTTCACTAATTCCGTTGATATGCAGGGAAGTTGTCTGTTTACCTTCTGGTAACTACTTCGTAGAAAGGGTGCAGATTTTTCTACATATTTTTGTGGTTATCATGTGATGAAAAAGTGGCATTTTGTACGCAATATTAGTTTTAGAGTTTTGAGGTAAATGTGTAAAGTTTATTGGTTTACAATTTCTTGTATAGGAATTCTTTGGTCTGGTATGTTAGTAAAGGTCGGTCGATTCTCGCCATTTCCACGGAAAATGTTTTCCAAAAGTATAGCAAAGTGCATTAACGTTGAAGGTCCAATTTAAATAAAAGCTGCGTACTTTCAAAAATTACGAATTGGAATCTCCATCCCTGAGAATAATGATGTGCCTAGTTTACGTATGTACACCCAGTAAAGATTTGAGACATTGTTCAATATGTGTTCTCCCTAGAGAATGGTAAAAATTCAATGTGGTCACTCATTTCCTGGAACATATCCTCGACTTTTCCCGTTTTTCTAGTGCGTTATTTTTATTTTTCACCGATAAGATTTGTAGAGAATTTCACACTTTAAAAAATATATTACTAATTTGTAAGCTCTCATTTCACCTTGATAAATCACGAATTTTAAAAAATTATCCGCAAATAAAAATTTAGTCAGAATTTTTTGCTGTGCTATTTTTTTTTTTTTAAGGAATAATATTTAGTTGTACAACGATCTCAAAATTTTCCCTGAATTCTCAAAATTTCCCCTGACGATACCACTACAAACTCTCTAATTTTCAGTCACCAAAGCAATGCAATTCCCTGATTGTTCTCAGTTTTCCAGAAATTGGCCACCCTAAAATTACTCGAATCAGAACAGAAACATTTATTGAACGCAGAAAAATTTGTCGGAAAGGAAAATTTCTATGTTCGTGTTACTTATATTACGTGTACTTAAATATTGTATGTGCGAAATGTCTGCATGGTAGAATTTAATGACCAAATATTTATAGAAAATAATATTCAAATGACCATGAATTAGAGAATCATAATGAATTGGGAATCAGAAGGAATAAAAATCAGTATGTTCAATCACTGACAATGGCTGCAAGCATATGGAAAATTGGGCACCAAATTGACGAACAAATTGAGTGAACAACGGTATGTAAGAAAACTTCCAACTTCTAGTGTGTTTAAAAAATCAATAATGAACGTCCCAATATATAACTAGTTATTGGAATTGTGATAAAATGACAAAATATTTATGGCTAAAATAAGAAATTTGAGTAAAAATTACATACTACAATTAACGGTATTATGGCAGTCAAAAAGAAGCAACTAACATCTAGAAAAACGAAAGAGCATTGAAGTCAACAAAATTGATGTTGAACAAATCCGACTGCAAAGAAACAATATCTATCAAAGTTTCGACAATAACTGGTTAAAAATTACTCCAAGACAAGGTCAAACTAACATGTTTCACCCGTGTCCAAGTAACATGTTTCACCTTTCTGAAATGGTGAATAAGTGAAATAATTTCTTTTCAAACAAGATCGATAAACTGAATAAATTCATACAGGTGGCCCATATTGACCCATATTCATACAGGCAAACCCATATTGAACAACAGAGGAGGGGATAATATTAATATATTAATAAAACGTATAATATCCCAAATTGTTTCATAATGGAAGTAATCTAGTGTTGCCACAACCGCGCATTCTTTCTCGCATTTTAACAATTGCAATTTTCGGAAATTCAGAAAGTAGGTTGCCAACTTCTGGAAGCCCGTGGCTGTTTGTGATAGGGAATGTCACAAAAATTAAGTTATGAATGTTTTAAATTTATACTGTTAATTATATTTTCTATGAAATATTAGATTTATATTTTTACATTATATTAATAAATTATAGTTTATTAGGAACGAAATTTTTACATTAATTGCATTAAATTGTACTACAAATTACGCGAAAACTACTCTTGTGTACAGCTGCATGAGGTTTTTTTCTCGATTCCTGCTTACGCAGTATAGAGAATGTTGTAATGTTGCGGGGAAAGCAGCTAATTTTCGCCGGAAAAAACTCTTGTTGCTGGGCCCTGTGCAAGAAACTGTGATTTTTCAATAGAAAAAGTATTGTCTGATCATAATGAAAAAGTGGATAATTCTTGTTCTCATATGTAGTAAATTACTTCCTCTATCACGTGTATTCAGAATGCACATTTTGTGCTTCCTTGATACTAAAAAATAGATTGAAAGCAAAACTTCTGTCTATCTTAACGCTAGCACTAAAACGTAAGCATGATTTTCATTAAAATTGCTATTTGTATATTATGATTTCAAGATTAAGGATTAGAATTAGTATTTGGAAAGTTATAATTCCAGTAGATGACTTGAAGAAATGGATATTGAATAGAAGTTAAGCTAGAATGTTTTTATTCATTTTATTAAAAAATTAATTAACTTTTAAATTATTTTCTCTCTCTTTTTTCTTCTTTTCTTTTCTTTTCTTTGGTATTGTGTGGTTGTAATGCCTGCAATGCATTTGCACTTTATACATTCCTCAAAATTTACAGTTATTAATTTTGACCATGTTTGTTCATCTATTTTTGACCCTTGCAAAGTGGATGAACAAACGATTTGCCGTCAGCCAATTCTTTGGAATTAAGGTCCTTCAAAGCATGGATACTTAGTGCACTTGTTACAGGAAGTACATTTCTACATACAGAATTACGGTTAATCAACTTTTTCAGTATCAGTCCCACAGTGTTTTTTCTAACCAAATATTGCTGTTTTTGTTGCAACATGACAATACCTCCTCCATGAAATGCAAGAAATAGTGCTTAAAAATTGTGTTTTAAACTCCCCTCCAACTTCCCTTAAATGCTTATCTAAAAAATTTGTTAAAAATTGTAAAAACTGTGTGCTGTATGGGGAAGAGACTATAATCTGTGCTAAATTTCTTGAATTTTCAGAATATTCCACTCTTTTATTGCATATAGCTGAATATTATTAAAGGTATCAACAAATGTGATTGGCCTTTGAGAAGTGGCCACTTTTGCTCTGGAGTAAAAAAAGAAATAAACCTATGTACATCAGCAAATAGACAATTTCATTGAATTCCTGACAAAAAGAAATGCATGCTTGTGTCTTAACTAGCATGCATTTAGTGAACTTGTTAATATACCTGCACAATGAAGGTACATTAACAGTTCAAAGGAAAACAAGGGACCATCTCAGCATTTGCTCAATGGACCAAAGGAAACTGGTCAAAAACGATGATTAAGATGGGGGATATTCTAAGTAGTTCTACATTTTACTACATTGCACATCTTAAAATAAATACATTTTAAAAAAATCTTATACTTCTATAATTGTAGTTTTTTTTTTTTTTTTTAACTGTCGTATTTATATAATTATATAATGTTTTAGATATGATGTATCGTCCTGGTGGCTCTCCAGGTCAGCCTCAAGTTTTGTTACCCACTGCATACCAGATAGCAGGAAGTCAAATTTATCAGGTGAGTATCTCTTCTGATGAATTTCTATTTGAAATTGTAAAAAAGCATAGTCATGCTTGTTGGATTTTGCCTAATAAATCTACGGAAATAAATTTTTCCTTCAGCAATTTGTCAGTGCTTTTAAACACAAATTTTTTATTGTGTGAGAGTATTAGTGAATTAAGTCTTACACAACTTTTAAAATTGTCCCAGTAGTAGTAGATTTTTCTCCCTTTCACAAACCACCTAGTGTTGTTCCTAACTACTATCGGCTTACTATTTAATTTGCACCTGTTCATTCTTGTGACTATGAAAGACTGAACAACATGGCTGATGCTGGTTGCATCAGCTTCTGTTTTTGGCTGGCTCTTGGGAATGATCTTTAATCATTCACCTGGGAATGTCATTGATCATTATTAGGTATCTATTCATTCGGGAATATTTGCAAGGTAGTTGCCCCTTGATGGTTGTATTTAATATGAAGATCATCAGATTTTTGTATGATGATGGTTTTTTACTACTTTCGTAAGTTTGAGTAGGTTACATCAGAAACGTTTTCTTCTTCTTCTGTTTTGTTTTTTAAATTAACTTATTTCTAATTTTTATTTTACTGAAACTGATCAACGTATTCAAAATAACATTTTTTCCCCCCCAATCCCGATTGCTTTTTTTTCTCACGAAATACTTTCTTCCTTTGGTTGCACTAAAGAGTTCATAGATATTTTTAATAAATAATAGGTTTTGTGTTCAAAACTGGTTGGGTGGGGGCAATTCATTGTATCTGCACGAGTTCCACGTAAATCTTTCCAGAGGTATATACTCTAACTTTCAGATGCCTGCTTACATGGACACATGCACTCACTGGTGTGCACAGAAAGGCATCATTGGATATTTGTAATATAAATATGTAGTTTCTCAGATTTTTTTATATTGCTTTAATTTTTTTTAAATTATAAAACATGATGTATTAAACAAAAAGATATGTTTTGATGGCTAGAACAAATAAGTAAATGTAAGGTGTTTGACAGGTTTCCTGATGGAGAATGCAATGTTCTTGTATCTCGAGAAAAACATTTGGAGGAATTGTATCATGAGGAAAGAGGAGCCCAAACTGTGGGACAGCTGCATTTGATTAAGGGTTTTGAGGTGGCTTTTAGACCTGAATATCCAGTTGCTTCAGTGGGATGTGGCGCTCCATCTTGTTAAAAGATGTTTGGCTGCTTGCTATTTCAGGAAATTGTGGTCTTTGAGAACGTCAAAGTAGGCTTAGATTGTGGTATTAGGGGGAAAAAATTCAATGAAATATTTCATAGGACTATGCAGTATATTTAAGAAAGTTTTTAATATGCTTCTGGACTACTTTTGGGTTTTCAGAGCCCTATATTCTGCCATGGTTATGTAACTTTCTCAGACACATTGTCCTGAATTAAATCATGTCAAAACTCAGGAAATGGTTATTGAGGTCAACTAACTCCAGAATGTCAGCTATGAAGTTGTCTCTGTTTAGTCTGATGGCTTGATTTTGTGATGAATGCAAATTTCGTGTGTATGAATAGTCATGTGTCAAGCTCTCAGAAGTCATGGTTGGGGTATCTGCAATTCACTTGATGCCTGCCTCGTGGATTTGGCTTAGGGGAAAAGACATTTCTGACCCCTTCTATGGCTCTTCAGGTACACACCTACCTCTTTCAGGCCTCTTTAGCTCACTGCTAGTAGCAAAGAAATTCAGTTAATTATTTTCAGATAGACTTTAGATCAGGCATATCTTAGTGGAATACATGTTTAAATTTTTTTGAAATGTGATGACTTCTCTCAAACCATAAAATAGTGCTTTCTCTTGTACTGCCACCATCTTGTAAATAAAACTACATCTCAGAGATGATTAGATGAATTTTAGAAATAAGAACATTCTTGTAAAATGTGACTGATCTTCCTTTTTTACTTCCTCCTGAAATACAATATCAGCAATAATGAATCGTACATATAACTTAAAATCAGGAAAGTTTAGTGAGCCTTACCTGTGTGTGTTTGTTTTTATATATACCCATATGTATATGCAATTTTTGTGTTTGACAGCTGTGCCACGGGGGACAAAATTGCTTGCCCGCGATACACATTTTATACAATACAATATGAGCTTCGTTGTGTATTTCATTCAAAATATTGGCATCAATTTCTTGCTGTGTTTTATACTCTATGTGCGAGTATATGAGAAAGTAAAATAGAAAATCTCTAACCTACTGTTGGTGCAAGTTTCAGATTGCCATCAACACTGATTTCGGGGTCCTTTCAGGCCTGTTGATTTTCACAGGAAATAAAAATGTTAAAGAAAACTATACAATTTTGTATTACATTCATGCTGTACTGAAAAAATATATCAATGTAATAATTTCAGTACCGTCAACTGGGGGTTATTTTGGCACAATTTTTCTTTTCATGACATGTTAAGCATACCCGTTCTCTTTTTCTTTTATGATTGCTAGAAACACGGAACCACATTGCTATCATTTATAATAATTTTTTAAAATCAAAATGTTACTATGAAAATTTTGGCCAATGTTACAATGAATTAGGGTATCCTTGATCCACATATTGAGTCATGGTATATGACCCACAGCATGATGACAAAGGACCAGTTATTCCTATTTAAGCCAAAAACTTTGGTATAATTAATTTTTCATTGTAGGGGACGGAGACGTAGATGTAAAAAGAAGGAAAATAAACTTTCATTTTCAAAAAAGTTTAATTACAAAACTTAATTACAAGTCAGGGATGGAAAACTGATTTTTTCGGAGATAATTTTAGACGGATTAATTTTTGCCTCTTCCCATTTATACAAGTCTGGTCACTGTGGCCAATACCAACATGTAACTTCTTTTCCAAACAGACAATACAACTCTCCCTTCATTAGGATGAAATATTTCCAGGATAAAGGATTACCTTGGAACAGCACAAGTTCAAAATTTTAATGTTACAGTAATCTGTCAATTGGTGCTTTCTTTTTTTTGGTACAGTCGGAACCAATATGCTAGATGTGACTATTAAATCTGTGTGTTTCACTATCTCCAACTACTAATGGCCCTAATTCGTCTTCAGAAGAACTTTTATTCAAAAAAAACTTTCAATCTTGTTTCTTTTGTATAGGCTTTCTAACCATCTCTTGTCTTTTGTTGACAGTGAAGAGACATAGATTCTTCAAAGTTATTGTCCCCCCCCCCCTTTAAAAAAACAACAAACACACACACAAATTCTTCTTCAAGCTGTCTTGTCTAACTGACTCCTTTGATTGTGTTCACTTTAATGGGTCAAATGATCTATCAGCTTTTCTCAAGTTGATCCTAGAAGGTATCACCTATCACAACTATCCATATACACTAGGTTGTGCGCCACGCACACCATCCTTCGGAATCCGTGGATTGTCATTGTGAATTCTCAAATGTTCTTCTAATAAAGACGTTCCCAAATTGCGAATAAACTTCTTTCTATGATTCGTTTTAACTTCAAGTCCATTGTTTACCATGTGTATTATCATGGCATTGATTCCCGAGTGATTGAGCATGGAAAAAAAATGTGAGTGGCCAATGCCGGAGTTTGTCGACCACATCCACTCCACTTTTAGTTGAATTGTAAAATGTAATAATCGACGGTTTTCTCTTGTTTCCGATATCATCTATCTCATGGTCATGGTGTAGAGACATGACATACAAGTCTTCGCTGCCAGGTGAAAAAAGCTCATCCATACAGTCATCACTTTCTTCCATAAGAACGGATGCAATTTCATTTTCACTCATCCGATAAGCAATTTTGAATCCTAAGCAATCGTTAATAAAATTACAATCGAAACAAACAAAGATTTATTATGTAATAGGCTATTTTATAAAATAACACTACATACGTTTTACACAACGTCCAGCACCACGTGGGGTCTGCGGGACCCTGACTCACTTTACAAGCGTCTATACTCTTCGCTTCTTAAGCGATCACTAAATAGCATTAGGTAAGGGGTTTGGCAACACCGCACCTCCAGCTACACAAAGTGTCAGTGCCACCGCGAGAATATTCAAAAAGTTACAGCGATTTTTATTTTGCTGGGATCTGTTAGACCCCACGTGGTGCACGGAGAGTTAATGTATATGGATCTTGACCTATCACCTGTTGCGTAAGTGTTTGTGTCTGTGGGGAGCGTTGAATGGGTTTCGGATCTGTCGAACGGATTCTTGGTTGACGCGAACATTCTCAGCAGATGAGATAGCGATATTTTCAATGTTATCGTCCTTTTTCGAAGCGGAAGGATGCCGTAAACGTGGATCGTCTTCGATTTCTTCTCGTCCTTCGAACTGTTGATGCCATTAAAAAAAGCGTGTGCGTGACGTACGCTCATCACTGTTAACTTGTTGTAAGCGAAAATAGGTTGCGGACTTCCTTGTTTAACTAAAGATTTATCGTAGACAGGTTGCTGTATTAAAACGCCTACCATTTTTCCGACGTGCGGCAGGTACACGGTCCAACACGAAGACTGGCCCGACCGAGCAGGTCGTCACACCGGCTGGAATGTGTTTGGAGGTGGTCGTCTTGGGACTCTACTGGGGTTTTGATCTTAAGGCTCGCGCGGTTTGTCGTTACAAAAATGAGACCTTTATTCTTTCTTTCTCCTTTTTCATATTTTTTTTTTTAATTTTTGGTTTCCAGCGTTCCTACAAACTAGTTTAGTTGTAGCATTCGCCCTAAAGTTAGTTATTTTCCAAGTTCTGTAACATTTGATGCTCTTATTCGCAGGGTCATCGCACAGGTATCTGATGGTTCCTTATTCAGATTGGAAGGACATACTTAATTGCTTTGCACAAAATGTCCATACAAGTTTATTTCCAATTTACCGATTTGAGCCCTGTTTATTATTTTTTGCCGAACAGACAATTCTTCATGACGTTTTAATGATTTTTCCCACTCATAACCATGCATATTGTTTTTAAATGCTATCATATTAGTTTCTGTTTTGTCTTCATAGCTTTGTGGCCAGATGT